TTCTTCCCCCCCCCCCCCCCCCCCCACAGCATTTATGAATGGAAAAATAATTCGGGTGTTGCATTTAAAGAAAAAAGCTGCGATTTATCTTCTGCTATTTTCGAATTGTGTATTTAAGCTATTGATGGTAGAAGGATAGCATTTTACCTGGCCATAATAATGGGGTCTGACGACAGGGGAGTGGAAATATTGATCTCCATTGATAGAGGCGAAAAGAAAACTTTACAGCTGTACAGAAATATTTGAAAATAGAAATGGTTCCTGTTACTTTTAGCTTTTGTGAACTTATTTTAGGCACATTGTGCTGAAAGAGAAAATATCTGTACATTTTTCATATTCAAGCATTTATATGTGGAATACATAGAGACATTTCACGACTTTTTGTTTTGTTTTTGTTTTATCTGTTGCGTCGGTGTACAACTAGTCAACATGTTAGGTACTCTATAATTCTCACTGCAGTCATATTTGGGCACCTTATCTGTTTTATCGTCCTGAGTGAAATTTAATTATGCTTTTGGATTACCCACACATTTTTCTTAATTGGTTGCAATTTTATTTCTGATTTTTTGAAGACTATGGATACCTTTGATATAATATGCAAATTCTAAATTACTTAGAATTTATATTTAAGGGAACATTTGGCAATATAAATGAACATTTTTATTCTATATATAAAACTGTATTAGGAAGCTTGAGGAATCATTAATAAACAGATTTTTAAATGAGGTTAACAGTGATATTGTAAAGCAAAATCCTGGTCACAAAATAAGCAGGTGTACATTGTGATAGTTGTTGAATGCTTTCAGACAGCCATTGGTGGGTTCTGCAGTCATTCAGAATTTTGAACTTATTGCTATTATAGAATGTAATAAATCAAAATAAGAATGGTCAAGCATGTGTACTGATGAACATTACAGCCTGATAAACTTATCAGACTACTATAAACATTTGTTTACAAATATTTGTTTTCCAAGACACTTAAACCAGTAGTTTTCCTGAAATGAAATAGAAAAAAACAGGTACATTACAACTCTATTAATATATTTTGAACCAAACCATATCACTATACCAAAGTTCTTTTTAAAGAAACATTGGGCTTGATTGTGCAAATGATCCATGAATAGAACACCCTTTAGCAAGCCTTTTATAGTATTAGATGACTGTCTGTACTTCTTGATTTTTGTTTTCCACAAAAATGAGGGCATACACAACGTGATCCCAAGATCCTTACTTATGCAATTTGTCCTCATTTGTGAAACAGAACTGTCTGTAAATGAACTACTCATGATTAAGGGATTTGGGATTATGCTGAATATTTTAACACATTGATTTTGTTTTGGAAACAGTCCTGCAAAATGTTTAATTCAGGATCAGGCCTCATATTTGCTATTTTAACAAATGACTGCAGAAAGTCAATTGTTTTGTTCACTCTCTGAAAATAATAGTCAACCAAATTAAACCCACCAAACAAACAAAAAACACCTAACTTCCAAGCACAGAAATACTTTACTTTATTATTTTTTAAACACTTGTGCTTGATTGATTTGGCATAAAGCTATTTGGTTAGTTGAAATTCTGATTACTTTATAAACCTGGAGAAATGCATTGTCTCTACAACTAACTAACAATTAGAAAAAGAAAATATAAAAATAGCTTTCTGAACTTAAGTAAAGCGGGGAAAAAAGTTTAAAATATGGTTTAGATGAACAATAACTAATTTTAAAAAGAGGAAATGGGTTTAATGCACTAGTGTTTCACCCCAGTGACCTGAAGTCAAATAGTAGATTAGCTTGCAAGTGAGAACAAGGGCTCAATATTATACCTGCTGACATCAGTGGAAGCACGACTGGGAGGTGAGTTGGATAGTTTTCTCCTAGTTTCCACTTGTGTGCATCATAAAACCACCATAAAAACAAATTGGCACGATTCAGCCTGTTGACATTATCTGTTCAAGATAGGCCAAAGACTGGAATATCTGAAGTGCTCCAGTTCAGTATTCCTGTTCTGTTTTCTAAAATATGTGTTCTATGAATTACTTTGGGGGAAGTCCTATGGCCTGTGTTATACAGGAAATCAGGCTAGATCACAACAATGGTCTCTTCTGGCTATAGAGTTATATGAGGGGCCTGATACTGTATTTGGTATACAGCCAGAATTCCTACTGAGTTTTGGGTGGGCATGGAATGCAGGTTCAGGCTCCAGCCAACTGTTGTATTAGTACAGCAATGCACCATGTTTGCCTGTCAGGTTTGATTCAGTTTAGTCCTGTTATTCCTGTTTCATAAGTTTTATTTTTTTTCTCCAAGTTTAGATATGAAAAATAATTGTAATAGTTGTGTAATTTCTTCAATTGCTGACATTCACAGACATTAAAAAGGAAACCTGAATCCCTCCTTTAAAACCAATTCATAATCATCTGACCGCAACAATAGCTATTAGTAGGGAAATATCTCAACAGATGTGTCAAAAGGATGTAAGCAACTAGTTGACTACCCGATAAGCATATGCTTATGGGGTAGTCGAGTAGTGACTATACTAGTCGCTCCCCCCATTGCTGCCTCTATCAGAGAGAGGCAGCAAGGGGACAGGGAGCAAGAGCTGGGTGGAACTGGCTGAAAAGCTGATTTCCCAACCTCAGCACCATCTCTGCAGGGAAGGCAGAGGAAGTAGAGATGCAGTGGGGAAATGGTGCAAGCAGGGACTGAAGCAGTCCCTGCTCCTGCCAGTCCAACTGTTGTGCCTCTTCCTTTGAAATGTAGCAAAAGCCTCACGGGAGAGGCGGAACCCAAGGCGAGCAGGGACTGCTTGAGTCCTTGCTCCATCTCTGCCTTTGAAATGTAGCAAGAGCCCCACAGAGCTCTTGCTACATTTCAAAGGGAGAAGCAGAACCTGAGGCAAGAGGGTACTGCTTGAGTCCCCATTGCTCTTCTGCCTTTTAAATATAGTAATTACTACATTTAAAAGGCAGAGGCAAAGTGGGAATAGTGAGCACCACACACATTATTGACTAATCGAGTAGTCAATGGAAATTCCATTGACTACTTGATTAGTCGATTAATCAAAATTTAACATCTCTAATGTCAAATGCATAATTTTTAAAATTGAATGTGGTTAATGGGCCCTTTAAAAAAAAAAAAAAAAAAAAAAAGGACCAAGAACGGTGTTCCCTTTAAACTACTACAGCACAGCTTCACAGGTGATTAATCGGCCCTGCCTAGTCAGTCAGCTTCATGCACAGAGCCTTGAGTCTCTGTCTGGGTGGGGCTGATTAATCATCTATGAAGCGGTGCTGCTGCACAGGTTAGATGTAACACTGACCAAGGATCATATTTTCAGCATTGTTGTCTCACAAAAGACTGTCGTGTCTTTTATGGTGGTCCAACTGAAGTTGTTTCTAATGAAACAAGAGTGGGGTGAGGTTCCTTTATTACATAAGAATTAAACCATTCTATATAGTGTATATATACTTTAAAAGTTGTCTCTTTGCTTATCCTTGTGAAAAAGCTCATTATTTATTAAGCAGAGAACTGTTTTAAGAAGAGATAGCACTTGACTATGAAGCTGCTGACTGCCTCACTTTCACTGACTTTAACAGGAATTGACGGTGCTTGTCACCTTACAGGAAAGGGCCCTCATATTGGATTTAAAGGACAGTCAGGCCTGATGCTGCTCCCAGTGAAGTAAATGGTAATATTGCTATTGAATTAAATTTGAGCAGCACTCGGTCTTTAAATAATTTACTTTACGGTGGTCAGTGTGGAACTCCTTAGCAATGAATACATGAAGTTTCTGAATGTCATTTCAAAAATGAAATAGAATTTGAGAGGGATCTTGCTCTCTATTAAACAGTGTCCTTAATCAAAAGCATCCAAGCTAGAGATGTTACTTTTAAAAATTTTGATTATGCTTTAAGCACCACTTATCTAATATCATAATAGATGCCATTTGTGGAATCAATTGTGAGTAACTGGAAATGCAATGTCAGTGACAATTGCATTGTGGTAGTAGGTAAATAATACCAATAAAGTAATTGAATTTAAAATGTAATGGCTCAGATTGCACTTTTAGATTTGTGCGTACAGATTGCCACCACGTTTTGCACAAAAAGAGAGTCAGAAATAGTACTTCATTTTAAATGAAAGAGCGGTCAGGATTCAAGTAATTCTTTTACTTTCATAAGTGACACACCAAGTCTAAGAGGTGTCTGGGCTCAGCTCTGGCACAAATGAAACATTGTGCAGAACACTTAACAACACCATTTTGCCCTCTCAGAGCCTGTGGAGACCTTTTGGCATGGTCTGGGCTCCGTGCTAGTTTTGACTGGGGGTGTGTCTATGCTGCAACTTGGAGTGGGCTTCCTAGCCTGGGTACACAAACTTGTGATAGCAGGGCTTAACCGAGTGCTCTAAAATAGCTGTGCGGATGTTGTGGCTCTAGAGCAGCAGTTCCCCATCTTTTCCAGATGGGGACCCATTTTGACAATTCAGGAAGACTTGGTGACCCAAGGGGAGGACAGGGGACAGAGACACCTGGGAAGACACTTGGTGACCCTTTTGAAATGTAATGGCGACCCATAGGTTGGGATAGTTCCTGAACTCAGATGTATAGGATTCAGGTGACCTTGAGAAGCCAAGCATCATCATCTACCGTACTATTCTTAAGCGCACTGCCTTGAGCCCCACTGATGCTACTCTGTCCACCAGCACTTGGAAGTTTGCTGTCAGCTG